TAAATATGTGAATATATATTTATAAAATATGTGAATATATATTTATAAAATATGTGAATATATATTTATAAAATATGTGAATATATATTTATAAAATATGTGAATATATATTTATAAAATATGTGAATATATATTTATAAAATATGTGAATATATATTTATAAAATATGTGAATATATATTTATAATATATGTGAATATATATTTATAAAATATGTGAATATATATTTATAAAATATGTGAATATATATTTATAAAATATGTGAATATATATTTATAAAATATGTGAATATATATTTATAAAATATGTAAATATATATTTATAAAATATGTGAATATATATTTATAAAATATGTGAATATATATTTATAAAATATGTGAATATATATTTATAAAATATGTGAATATATATTTATAAAATATGTGAATATATATTTATAAAATATGTGAATATTTATTTATAAATATGTGAATATATATTCATAAATATGTGAATATTTATTCATAAATATGTGAATATTTATTCATAAATATGTGAATATTTATTCATAAATATGTGAATATTTATTCATAAATATGTGAATATTTATTCATAAATATGTGAATATTTATTCATAAATATGTGAATATTTATTTATGAATGTGTGAATATATATTTATAAATATGTGAATATATATTTATAAATATGTAAATATACATTCATTAATATGTGAATATATATTCATTAATATGTGAATATATATTCATCAATATGTGAATATACATTCATTAATATTTGAATATATATATTCATTAATATGTGAATATATATTCATTAATATTTATAAATATATATGTATGTATATATATATATATAATAAGAAAATTTTTATTATATTCATTATAGAAAGTTTAAAAAATTAGTTACATAATTCTATTGTAAATAAATAAATTTTGTAAATATTATTTGAATATTTAATGTGAAATATGTTATTAATTTTAACTAATGAATTAGAAATAATTCTAATTTATTAAAAATATTACTGTGATTTCTTTTGTATATATTATAATTTTAGATTAATTATTTATTTATATATTTATTATGTAAATTAAATTAAGATTATTAAATATTAAATATCTAATCATATATTACAAATATATATTAAGTAATAGAGATAGTATAAAAATTTACTACTATTTTTATTCTATTGAATTAAATTAGAATAAAACAATCAGTATGCAAAAATATTATATTATAAAGAATAGTTCTTATTAGAAGTTACAAAAAGAATAGATAAAAAGTTTGAATAGCTTAAATTATATCTATCTTAATAATATACTATTAATTAATATGATTTTAGTTGTTAATAAGTAAATAAATATAAATCACAACTTTTGATTATATAATGATGACATAAATATTCATGAATAAAAAATAATATGAAAGAAAAAAATCTTTACTTCAAGATTTTTTAAATAATATATATTTATTTGTTTATTTAATAGAATATTAAATAGAATCAATTTTTACTAATTGACCCAACTATCCTAACCATCATGAAAAAAAATAAAATGTAATCTAGATCATTTCTCCACTATTGGATTTAAAATCAATGAAAACCATCCACATGCATCATAGATACATCAATTTAGTAAAAACTTTGGTCTATTTTACATTCCCCTATATACATATCTATATACCTATATATGTACTTATACGAATATATTTAACAAAACGGCAATAAAGGGATTAGTGAATTCGAGCAAGCAACACTAACATTGTTTCATTGTTTAATTCTCCGAGCCTTCGGATTCACTCACATTCGTAACACTGTTGTTAAAAAATAGGGGCCTCTTTGTTTGTCGAAATTTTGGTGATATGCACTCTCTCGACCAATAGCTACTTAATCTGGCAGTCTGTCATTCTTTTGCTATACAAACTAAGTCAACTTAACAGTTTGCGTAGAACAAACTGAAGAAAGATATAGCCCAATTTCACTTGGCATTGTTGTGTATCTTCTTCATCTACAACTGAGCCTGCCTCTACCAATGCTCATCTGGCCTGCAACATAGTCGTCAGAACGTCTTTTGAGTTTTTCATTTTATCGTCCCATATCTTAGAAGACATCTGAATCTGCAACAAAGTCATCGACACATTGCTCATATCTGGTCTCCTGTTAGCAACTGGATCAACACAGCTTCTCGCCAATTTGGCAGCTTTCAGGGCACAATCTAAAGGGAAGTCATCTCGTAGCACAGGGTCAATCCAAGCTCGTATCCTACATTTGGGATCCTTATCTTCAAAGATTGACATTATGACTTCTGTAAGAAGAGTTTTCCTCAAAGCATTTGCACCTGCACTAGCCTGAAAGCTGACAGCTTTCTTGCCAGACAATATTTCTAGCAAAACCACTCCAAAAGCGAACACATCAAGCTTCGGACTTATCACACCTCCGTTTAGATACTCTGGGGCCATGTACCCATGGGTTCCTGTAATTTTGATGCTACGAGACCTTCGAATTCCACGATTTCCTGGTTTCACTTCTACAATCTCCCCTTCCTCAGTTGCAGTCTTGGGTGTCACTTCTAGTGCTCCTAACTCTCCCCTGATTTTTGCGACTCCAAAAAATGCTATCCTGGCATGAAGATCATCATCCAGAAGAATGTTGGTGCTCTTTATGTATTTATGTAAAGTCGGCACATGTGTGTGGTGATGTAGATACTCCAATCCTTTGGAAATCTCCAGAGCCACCTGAATCCGTGACATCCAAGTCGGAAGCGCTGAAAATCCGGGAGAGATATTACTGTGAAGATAGTGCCATAGGTTGCCTCCATTGATGTAATCATAGACGAGGTAAACTTGTTCTCCGTTAATACAGCCTCCCAGCAACCTCACTAAATTGGCATGATGTATGCTTCCCAAGTTCTTAATTTCTGCAGCAAAGTTATCCCCACCTGCTCCTTTTCTTGTGTCCACCACTATTGCCATGTCGGTCTTCTGCAGATTTCCTCGGTACACTGTAGTGCCGACTTTCTTTAATGCACTAAAATTGTCAGTGGCTTTGCAAAGATCCCTGAACTGGAAAATTATAGGACCATCAGAGAGCATCTCTCGGATGTTGGTCAACGATGTGGCACTGCCGGATGATCGCGAAGAATCTTTACTGGAGTTGGTATGGTTAGCACTATTGTATGACTGTGCGATGCTCTTATCAGTAACCCTGGGCCTTGATCTGGCTTTAGAAGGCGCCACCGAAACAGCGGCTGAGGGAGGTTGCTTCTTCGGGTTGGACCATTTCAGCAAAAAACACATGCTGGTTTCTGGGGTAGGATACGTCCTGCATTTGGACAATTCAGACATCAGTGTGCACGGCAACAGGTGACGATTCTTCTGGCCATGTCCTTTAAATATACTCCAGAATTTTGAGTCTTGCCTCGCAGCTACCGGAGAATCTTTAGGGCTGATTTTAAAAGGTCTATAATTTCACAAGATACAGCATCGTCATAGATTCTCATGATCGTGAGTGTTGGAACCGGGAATGTTTCTTGTACCACGTCACACACTTGAAATAGAGAAACATAGACAGTTATCTATGAATTGAGTCCACGTGGTTTTGTAAAGTCTAAACGCCGGGGACGCAAGTAATGATCGACACCAACATCATGTGCCCGAGTTAATGAGAGTCCGCACGAATGCTTCTTAGTTTGTTGAAGGAGCAGATCACCTCAATTATAAATTGCTAATCACGAGGAGAACACCGAAAACAACTCAATCTCAAGCGATGCTGGGATATTACGCTTAATATCCGGATAGTGAGCAACTAGTGTGTCATACCTGAAAAGTTTTGGAAACACTCCGCTCCTTGCGTCATGCCACAGCGCAAATCCAGCACTGACAATAAATCATGCAATCTTGGTGCATAGGCATGCAGCCTCTCCCTAAAGCCCAGCATCCCAACCAAAGATTATCATGCAGTCGAGGATGCCAAAAACTTAGGAAGACTAGTACGCCTCCGCAATCATGTCTTCATAAGCTTCGGCACATATCATGGTTTCGCTGCCAAACTCGAGATTGCAAGCATATTGCAAGTAGATCCTCACAGCCAAATTGTCTCAACGATCGTCTGTTACTTCCCTCTTACACTGCAGAAAGACCTAATTCTCATGCGTCAAGGAGCTTCCTCGAGTACCTTGCAGAAAATGTTTGGGATCAATTTGGAAACAAAGAAAACTCACTGACCCAGTTGATAATGTTGGACGAGATCATCCAGTTTGATCCAATCGTACAAATTCAAATCTGGCCCGAGGCTTCTTAAATGCAAATATGCTCTCGACCACATGTGCCATGCGTACAATGAACTAAGATTGAAACCTCGACAAGCCCCTTTCGCAGCCACAAGATAGATCCTGAAAGTCTTACAACAATAAACGTTTACGGCTGGCAATGAAAGTCCTTACATGATCGATATCTGACTAATTAGAAGCATTTTCAAACGAAGACTGCAGCAAACACATTGTATCAACAGTCTTAATCACAGTAGCTGAGTTGAAGATACACTTTCTAAGACCCTGCAAGACGCCCAACAGTTGTCTAAGAAAATGATCCAGCCTTATCTAAGCCAGTCCACCAAATACTTGTCAAATATTTTGAACCACTAACACTCTCAAGATACAAACCATGCAATAACCACACTCGTAATCTGGAAGGAATTCTAACGCACTTCCCCAAAATCGTTCCAAAAACCCACTGTACTCTATCGTCCAAATGCGACTAACCACGACTAATGCGCCTCAAAAATACACTTCACCACCACCACAATCGAACTCCTAGACAAAGAACACCACCAAACATCCCCCACATGCAGCACACGTGAAAACCGATGAACAACAACAACAACAACAACAACAAAACCTCTTATCATAACCTGCTCTCCTTCAACAATATCTCTCCGTCTCTACTCAAGCCATGTAAGAACAGTTCAAAACTCATAACACCTACAGTAAGACGCCGACACCTCCGTTGCATCCTCAAGCCAATTCAAATCACGCTTCAACTCCATCCTTCCCTCAAGTATCAAACAAAAAGAACTACAGAAGCCGCGGTAGAAAAAAATAAAAGCTCGGAGCCGAAAGGTGAGGAGGCGGATCAATCACGACGCAAAGCTAGCACTCTTTCTAACAACCTCTGCCTCTCCATCGCCATGGATTTGTAGCATGGAAGCGAACAACAACGACAACAAAAACAACAGCGGAAACAAAGGAAAGAAGAAGAAGAAGGCACAGATTATTCTAGTCTTCTACGGCAAGCGGACCAATACCCTCTGTTACAGGGTGTCGATAGATGGTGATACCCGGCTCTGGGACGCGCCGGATATGTTCCATCTCGGATCAGGCCAACGCGGCACCGTACACCAATCAGCATCATTCGCCATGCACACGGCCTCCAAAGTGACAGTGGATCAGCATACTTGATTAACTAATTGACTAATACATTAACTAATTAACTAATACGGTATTAGTACATTTTTCACAATATAAGCACATACTTTTGTGGGGTTTATGATGAGAATCTATCTTCCTCTACTCAGAACGACACTGTAACTGTGATGAGCCTTTTTTTAAATAGTTTATTGTTGTGGTTTTAAGACATAGAAAGTCAGATTGATGAGTTTCATTTGATTGTTTGATTAGATGTTCTGTCCTATTAGGACACACTTCTCTGTGCTTTTTTTTTTTATTGATTGGTACTGAGGTGGTGTGTTTCGTCTAAAGTTTTAGTTTATGGTTTCGAGGTTGAACTTTTAGTGCAAAGTGTACTTGTGAAAACAATAGAATATGCACTATTTAATGTGTGTTGATCTGATTTGTTTATAAATCAATCGGTTATAATAGACTAAACTATGATATTTAATACTGTGTTTTGTTTATTGCTTAAGGTTAATCACCAGTTAAACCTATGGTCAAAGTATCCTTGTTGTGATCAATATGGAGAAAGATTTAGAATTCCATTGCTAGTGTAAATTTTAATGGAAAGTATAAATAATGATGTATTATCAATACAAACTTATCTGATTGGAAGGCGGGTCTTTTATAATCAATTCCACATCATTTTTATTTTATGTAATGAACAAGATTTTAAAAGTTAAATTGAAACAGACAGGGACACTAAGTATAATACCATTGATTTGGTATTGGCTGTATATTACCAAGTTATATTGATGAAATCATTTCAACACACTCTACACTGCCTGATACCAACAATGTGATCCGAATCAAGTAATGTTTTAAAATCATACTATACTACTTTGTTTATTTATTTTAAAAAACAGTATTTGCACAAAAGACATTGTTTTTTTTTTAAACTTCGAGTTTTCATAATTCAAGAATAACTACCAGAGGGAAGTCATTTATTTGTTTACTTATTGAAATAGACTGTGCTGGTAAATTAAAAAATTCGATCTTTTTTAAAAAAATGTATTTGTAACACATTCTGCACTTGTAATGTTAACTGTGATCATTCTAGTTTTGTTTATTTTTTTTTAGTTTCCTCGCATCCATATTATAAAATTTTAAGCATCTCAAAATCTACACTTCATCATTCAAAGTTTTAAAAAATGATAGAAAATATACAGAAATAAAGTAACACAAAAATGAACTGTGCTTGCAAAGAGAAAGTACTAGCAAGGAGAATGACATGCTAGAGCCGAAAAGGGGGGGGGGGACTTTACACTAAAAATATAAAGTGGGTAGGCGAAAAGGGGTGGCAAGTAGAATGTCTACCAGTTGATGACACAAATGGCTTGGATAGTAGTAGCAAGCACCAAGATAGAAATGATATTAGTTGGGTGGAAAATTTCTTAAAGAAATAAGGCACCAATGACGTAGTGTCAACAAAGACTCCACCGAAGGATGTCATTTGCTAAAGGGAAGAAGAAGTAGAAGAATCATAAAATGTAACGTTACTTGTAGAGAATCTCATCGGTGGTATGGGCCTCCACAAGAGACTGCCTCTAATTTGTTCCAATATTAATAATCAGTGGCATAAAACTAACTCTATCTCTACTCAAAATCACAATTTCTCATTCAATCATTTGTTTTTTTATTGAATTATGTTGAATTTGTTTTTATATAAATAATTTACTGAGGGGCTCCTAAGAATAATACCCAGCTCCCCAATTGACATGGAACACACGATACCGGGGATCTGAGACCCGGGTGTCGTCAGGGTATCTCCGTTACCTGCACGTTCCTTTCTGACACGTGTCGCGCTGGGGGAGTCACCACCTGCGTCCAATGTGAAAGGCCTGACAAATCTCAAGCTGTGGTCAGAGTAGTTGTTGACGCCAATCCATAAAAGCTGACATGGCAAATGGATGAATGGCCGTGTTCTATGGGTATGAAGTTAATCATCCAAGGACAGAAGTCGGTCATCGTTGGAGCTGACCTCCCCCTCCATGGAAGCCAATGCGACCTAAACCCTAAAAAGTAAAAGCTACTGGGTCACAACATTTATGTGTTTTCGTTAATATGGCATCAAAATCATTGGTTTGGGGGTGGTAAAAAAATACACTAGAAATGGATATAGAAGAAGGAAATTGGCAAAATTGGTGTGTGGGCTAATTTAATCATAATAACAGAATTAGGCTAATTTGATGCTGCTTAAGAATGTAGTTATGATTATTAGTAACAAAAAAGATTACCAGAAATATTATACATAAACAGATGAAGTTCCCCATCTTGGCCCAACTAAAACTTGCTCAACCAAGTTCTTCCAAAAGAACAACTTCCTCCTAATTCTCATCAATAATAAAAATAAATAAAACAATGATGTATTATAATTTCAATTGTTTTTTTTTTATTTTATATATATATATATATATAATTCCCACCTCAAGTAATCCTTGAAGTCATCTTTGCCCATTGGCACTCCCAACTAACTGATGTAGCCACCAACTAACCAATTCCTTAGCTCTAATAATTCATAAAGTAGTCAAAGATGATAAGGTAGATTTGATGTAAGTGTTGTACTTTATAAACTCTTTTGTTGCCGTGTCTTCCCAACTTACAATTTTTTTAAGACTCACAATGGGTTGTTCCACAACTGCTTCTTTAATGAAAGCAATGGACTAAAAACCTTGTAGATATATATATATATATATATATATATTTCTATCAAAGTTGTAGATATATATATATATATATATATATCAATCAAAGTTGTTACTATTTAGCTTTGATTTTGATATGATTTTGATTGCATGATAAAAAACAACAATGTCTACGTGCTAGTTTCTACAAAGTCCTCCTTCCATTTTTGAAAATTTCAAGAGTATTATAGAATTTATAAGATGATTGTATGATACCTCTTTATTTGTGATATATATATATATATATATATATATTTAAACAGCTTGAAATTATACGAGTGAACAATCTGATTTAATTTCTTTGTTGCTGTGAAAATTTCTTTGTTTTATTGAAGTACTTTCATGATCCATTTTATTATACCTGAAAATAAAAGAAATAGAAAGTGTCTTTGGAAAAAAAAGAAAAAGAAAAAGAAAAAGCATCATGAATATCAGAATAGCATGTAATCAATCACAGACATTATTTTGCAATTGTTTATAAACTCTTAGAGCAAAATATAATGTTATTGATAAAAAAAAAAAAATACCATAATTACGCTGTTCTCAGTTATACTTTAACTGTATCTGATCCCCTGAGTTTACACAATTAGAAAAGCCACCAGGTGATTGAAAGAGTTTTGTCTAATTATTATTATTATTATTATTATTATTTTTTCTTAGATTATATTTTTCTCAATAAAGCATACATTCATTATTATATTATTAGAGAAGTTAATTTAGCCAAGTTTAAACTATCATTTAGAAGTTGAGAGAACCATGTCCTTGTGTTTGGGTTTTAAAGACATATCCCCTTCCATTTGTGAATCAACATGGCCCCGTTGGTGGAGTGTACAAAATAGATAATAATAAATGAATTACCCAAACATGGATGAATGTTCCCATTCATCAATTTGGGAATTAGATTGTTTTTTTAAATATACTTGTCTCCAAGTTGCACAAGGACAATGAGTGAAGTGTTCAAGGTACCCAACTCCCTTTTCAATAGGGAGGTCTTAGAATAGAAAAATGAATTAGAAGTATTGATTTTTTATTCTTTTATATATATATATATATATATATATGTGTGTGTGTGTGTGTGTGTGTGTGTTGTTAGTGAAGAATGTGTGTCATTACAATGCATCATTGAAAAGTCGTAGTTAAATGACTTGGGGACGAAGATGTGAAGGTTTAATGATAGAGCTCTAATTTAGCCCACACTTCTTCAATTACTATCTTTACATTATTGCTTCATTATTTATTTGTTTATTTTTCTCTTTTCTCTTCTCTTGCACAAAGTAAGTAATTGTTTTCAAGTAAATCCCCACTGTGTGGACAAGTGTTCATGTGTGTCCTCTAAAGTTCTTCTTTAGTAGTGTTCTTTGCATTTGACGTCTCTTGATGAATTCTTCCCATATTAAAATTTTACTCCTTTATCTAAATTTAAAATATAATTGTAAAAATAAAATGAAATAAATCTTCATGAGAAAAGGTTACCTCACATGTTATAGTCACATTGCTGACAAAATTCTTTGACTATATATATATATATATATATATATATATCTTTTATTTCTATCATCTTTTAGTTAGTGCTCCTAAATTAGAATACAAAATTTTAAAAAATGAAAACACTATATTTTTATTTACAATAAAAATTTCCAATAACCCCACTGTTTCTGTCAAAATAATCATGAACTGTTTAAGATAATATTATTCTATAATCTTTGTTGTTTACAATACAAAAATAACAACAACAATTGTGGGACGTTTTCTTTACCAATAACTGATTGATCATATATATATATATATATATATATAGTACACTGAATTTAATCAAAATAATTATGTTGTAATTTGAATCTCAAATCTTTAATTTTCTATTTAAGAAAAACATAGACCCTGTATACAGTTATGGTTACGAACAGGACATATAATTTTTATCATTTTCTAATGGATTTTTTAAGAAAAGTCAACCACCAATTGAAATCTTAATGAAAAATTGGGTTTTATAATTATTCTAATTATATATATATATATATATATATATATATATATACACACATACAAACACAGATATTTCAATAACCATGAGAAACTTTAATTTACATGCCATTAAAAGTTTTTTGACTTCATAAGTTCATTTTAGTG